GGTTATGCTTGATTTGGGCATTTTATTTTGGTGGTTAAAGTGATTCTTGGTGGTTTCGGTCTCCTCTTGATTTTTTTTTCTTTTTGGAAATTTTGTACCAAATGAAATGCTTAACATTTTAGGAATTTGGTTTGAATTTGAAATGGAAATTAAGTCTCTAGTTGTGACTTAGCATTCAAGATTTCATATTCTATTATGATTGATGAGTTGGATGGATGTTTGTGTCACCAGCACAGAACACAAGCGTAGGGATTGGGAGCAATGGTACGATGAGTTATCAAACCAATGATGGTACTGCAACTGCTGATGATTCAAAGGAACCAAGTCGTAAACTCGATTTACAAGACTTTGGGACTCCTTCATCAGTTACACCTTACCGTCTCTTCTCAGCGCCATCTCCTCCAGCGCGCGCCTGTATAACTCTTTTTCTACTCCTGCTTTTTGGATACTTTTTTTTTCAAATGAATGTGTGTATAATTGCAGCAATTCTCTTGTGATCGAGCTGGATACCATGGCTAAGTTGTCCGAAAAGTGCAGCATTCAAGTCCCCATGGAGCTTCTTAGGTGAGATAAAGTCCTTTTGGTGATGAATGCACTTGCTTGCTTTGTTATGTTACTGGTGTTGCCATCTTTTGTTTTAGCTTGATTGATGATGTGAAGAACCCCGACGGGTTTACCAAGGATGTTCTTAATAGCTAGAAATCAAGTTACAAAGGGCAAGACTGATTTTTCTCATCATCTTGGTTTTTGGCACGGTTTTTCTCTTGTACCTATCTATGTTTTTAATCAATATCTACAGGTTTTTGGAGGAGCTTGAACAGACTTTTCCTGATGAAGTCGATATGTATAGAGAAATCCGTGCTAGTTCTGCCTCTGTAAGTTGTTAACATGGCTTCCCTTATTTCTTATATATATGTGATTCTACGTACATCTTCTTCATCAATATACAGTACTACTGTAAAAGGTGACTATTAGTTTTCATCGAATTCAGGAAGCCCAGTTGCAAAGTGTGTTACCAAATGGGGATTCCAAAGTCAAGAGTGAGCTATAAGAGTCCGATTTCCTATGGATCTTACCTTGTAGAATAAAAGATGAACGTGTGGATGTAAACGAACAAGCCCACTCCGACTTTCTATAATAACTTAGCTAATATGGTTTGAACTCTGCTTGTTGCTTTCTAAATTGTATCAACACCTTTATTGAAGTGATAATGAAATTTGGTTTCCATGTACGTTGTGTATATTCAAGTGGCATTACTTTAAACATTCATTAGATTAGATTTCCCCAAGTCTTTACATGCTCCTAGTCAAAGATCAATAATAAAAAAGGTTAAGTGATTAGGACACCTTGCACTTCTTCGCCGGACCGATCATCTTGCCGTGGCCACCAGCCGCACGCAGGAGACCTACTTCCACGTCATCGCATGAAACCCTAACGTACTCGGACGACCACAATGACCATTTTACGAGGCTAGTCAGCTTCACATCGAACTCTGCAAAACTATTAGTGATCAAGTCATTGTTGATTCCTCTGGCAATAGTTTCCGGTGTGAGATGGACGGTGACGTGGATCGGGGTCGTCTCCCTCGCCTTTTGAACAAAACTCGGGAACACGGTCGAGGCCAGACGGTTCTTGCCGTGGTAAACTGAGCAGTAAACGTCGTCGTAGAAGAAATCAGTCTCCAAGTTAGTATTTAGGACTTGAAACTGCAGGTTCCAGTAACCGGAAATATGATCTCCGGTGGAATTGAACTTGGTTACTGTGAGGGAAGCGAGAGTGACCTCAGGTGAGTCCGGCAAGCAGAAGAAGAGCACGAGGAGTACGGTCGTAGCAACCAATCCGAGGATGACAAAAGCCGCCATTATTTTTGGACAGAGAAAACTTTTGTAAGAAGCAAAATGTGAAGAAATTTCCAAGAAACAGAGCATAAAACAGAGCATATAGAGGAAAGAAGTGTAGCTTAATATATTAACAGTAAAACCAAACAGAGATGCTTATTCGGGATCAAGAAGTAAATAACTTTCATGTGAGTAAGGGACCCACCTCGGCATGTCAAATGCTAATCGAAGCATGTAATTAGGTGTGGATTTACAAGTTGCATTACCATTTACGAATATATTTACATCGAATTAGAAAGCTACTCGTAGACCTTTAGACAGTGTTAGAAAAGCTAATCGTTCAGACGTAAGATTAATGAGTACTTTTGCTTTTAATCAAAACAAGTAAATATTGAACGGTCTGAACTATCACCCACGAAAGAGAAAACTAATAAAGTTATGATTTAAACTTGAATGTGTATCAAGTTCTTTATTTGAAACTGTAAAGTATCTTACCATCATTTTATAATGATGTCAATTTTGCATCTTTTTAAACTGATGTTAAAAGGAATGGGTAGATATATCAAAATTTTGAAGTTATGTAAATTAACAATTTGTTTTAGTTACCTATAAATTAATATCCACTAGTTGTTTTTATAGATAATGAACTTTAAAGAAAAGGGCACGGAAATTTTTTTTATAGATATCTTTAAAGAAAATAAAGGATATTGTTCATTTGAAGGATTTATCAAATATTATCAAGAAAAAATATCTTATAGAAACTACATGTGAATAAAACAATTCATATTCAAAACTCAATATT